CCCCAAAACCCCAAAACCCCAAAACCCCAAAACCCCTAAAATGGAGGCAAATATTGAAAAGAAGAGAATTAAGAGATGTACAGTGAATGGACCTGTAGAGACAGAGAAGGATAGAGAGTCTTATGTAGAAGAGGTGAGGAGGAAGAGGAAGAAGAGGCAGATGAAGCAGAGGAGGAAGCAGATGCTGGAAATTGCTGGGATGTTGGAAGGTAGGGATTTGGGTGGTGAGAGGGGGAGGAATGTTAGAGGGTTTGGGAAGGTGTATGGGAAGTTGAGAGAGATGGATGCAAGTGATTTAGATGATATTAAGGATATTGAGATTTATCTTACATTGTTAGGTAAGTTTACACTAAATTTCTCGAAAGAAAAAAGAAGCTTCAAAAAGCTTTTTGTTGACATAAAATACATAGACCTGATCTCCTGTTTCGAGAGTATTCTAGCCTCAATCCCCAGTTCAAAGTACCCAAAAGAATTCTGTTCAATATTTTGAAAAATAGTGGACACCTTCAAAATATTCGTGTGCAAAGAGCACCAAGGAATTAGCAACGATTTCTTTGTAGAACAGTATTATCCCAATAGGCATAGAACTTTGGAACTGTGCTGTGAAGGGCTTAAGCAGGAGTAATTAGTATTGGAGAGTACTTTTTGAACTTGTTAGCATAGAGAATTAAGACAGTATTTGGCGTTTGGAATTGATGATAGAGCTTGATAGGAGTTGAAAGAAATCTATTCTTGGCTCAAGAGAGGTTCAATTTCTTGCTCTAGCCGTATTTTTTCCAGTATCAAGTATATATAAAAGCTTAGGTATTGGGATGTGAATTTTGCTTGTTGCATTGTGCAAATAATATTAAGTTTGCAATTCACAATCTAGTTTCTAAAAATTTATATACATATTTCGGATGCTGGGAAGAATATATTTTTGGCAACCAAATCTATATGCCCTTAGATTTTATCATTCAGGTAAAGTTTTAACTCGTAATATGACAAAATTATTTTATACATACTTTTATCATTTCTTTCTCCACCTAATCAAAATCTCTATCAAACAATCCCAGAAGTCAACAATAATATCACTCAATTTCTTCTCCCTATATTGGGGTTTTGGGGTTTTGGGGTTTTGGGGTTTTGGGGTTTTGGGG